ATGGGTGTGGTTGTCGATGGGTGTCTCATAATCACGCCCGCACCCACATCCATACCCACACCCACACCCATACCCACACCCACACCCACACCCCACACTCACACCTACACTCACACACCCCACACAAGTCCATCTAACCTTCAAATGACTGACCGAAGTGGCAACATTTGCTTTGAAAGGAGCAAAAATAGTGAACAGAAGTATCTTTATGAATGTTTCTTAGTCATGTGATGTTTGATGAACTGAACGAGTCGCGATCTTCGTTTTGAAGCGAGCGAAATCAGTGAACAGAAATCTTTTCGGTAATGTTCTTCTTCGATATGATGTTTGATCAATTGACCAAGTCGGAACCTTTCCTTCAAAATGAACAAAAGAGGTGAAAAGCACCCTTGTGAATAATGCTTCCCTTTCATGTCATTTTCAATCAAGTGACCTAGTCGGAGCCTTTGCTTCGAACTCAGTAAAAGAGGTGAATAGAAGTATCATTATGCATATTCCTTTACGATGTAATCTTTGGCCGATTGCCTGGTTTGCAACGTTTGCTTTCAAGTAAGAAAAATCGGTGAAGAGAAATCTTTTGAATAATGCTGTTTTGCCATATGATTTGTCGATGAGCTGGGTGAGTTGCAACCTTTGTTTCAAAGTGAGCAAAAGAAGAGAACAGAAATATCCTTATAAATGTCTCTTTCGTATGTAATATTTGATCAACTGACCAAGTCGCAATCTTTGGTTCGAAATGAGCAGAACAAGTGAACAACAGTCTTGTGAGTAATGTTTCTTTGTCATGCGATCTTGGATCAACTGACCGAGGCACAACTTTTGTTTGAAATTGAGCACAAATGTAAACCGATGTCTTCTTAGTGATGTTCTTGTTTAATGTGATGCTCAATCAATTTGTCAAGTCGTAACCTTTGCTTAAATATCAGCAAAAGAGGATAACAAAAGTCTTCTTACTAATATTTCTTTGTCATGTCACGTTTGATCAGCTCATCGAGTCGCACCCTATGATTTGACATGATCAAAAGACGTAAACCGGAGTTTTTTTTAGTAATGTTCGTCCACCATGGGATGTTTGTTCGGATGATCAAATCTCAACCTTCGCTGTGCAGTGGGCAAAAGAAGTGAGCAGAAGTCTTGTGAATAATTCTCCTTTGCTATATGATGTTTGATCGGCTGACTTCATCTCAATATTTCCGACAAAGTGAGCAAAAGAAGGAAACAGAAGTATTATAAGGAATGTTCCTTTACCATGTGATGTTTGATCTAATGACTGAAGCGCAACTTTGGCTTCGAAGTGAACAGAAGGAGGAACGGAAGTTTTTAAGTAATGTTCGTTTGCCATGTGATGTTTGATTAGTTGGTCGATGCCTTAGGCTTTGCATCTAGGTGTGCAAAAGAGGTGGGAAGAAAGCTCTTTAGAAATGTTTCATTGTGACGGGATCTCTCAGCAGTGGATTGAGTCCTAACCTTAAGTTCAAAGTGAGCAAAAGTAGGAAACAGATGTTTTCTTAGTAAAATGTCTTTACAATGTGACATTTGATCGGGTGAGCCAGTCACTATCTTTACGTCAATGTGAGCAACAGCGGTGAATGTGATGATTGTTGTGTGTGAGAAAGATTGAATTGAATAGAACGAAAAGCCCTGCCTTGACTTATGCTGTAATCTATGAGTATTTATTCTGGATAGGGCAAAATGAGGAAGTGGATTTCAACAGATCATGCAGTAAAGAGAAACTAGCGGTGAAGGATTGGCACCTCACAGCACAGTGGATATTAAAGAAACGTCTACTAGCCGCATAAAATTGATCGGTAGACAAAGTGCAATTATGGAAGCTGATGATTTGGGTGTACCTCTAGAAAGAAGAATCCTACCATCCACATCCACACCCTCAAATTCTTGTTTTTGTTAAATAATAATAAGTAACACTCATCGAGAGCTGGTTCACTTGGTCTTAGTATGAGGTAGTGGTCTCATGTCTGCTTGTAATACAGTAATGGTCTTGTAACTATGATCATTTGTCCCAAATTTTTGATCGCTTGGACCCTATCTGTGATCGCCACAACCAATTTGATGACTACTTCGTCGATATTTCTGGTCACCTAAACTATATTTCTGTGAAATCAATAACTATTTCTTTGATCATTTTGATCATAGTTTTGATTATTCTAATCATGTTTCTCATCATTTGAATCATCGTGTTACCATACAGCTATGATGCTACAGATAGATAGACATACATAGGTAAATTTCCATTTCTAGAGCCAATTCCTTCAATCTGAGAAACATCTAGATAATTATAAAGCCGCATGTTACCACATGATAATTGTTTACCTCTTGTAATTTAATTACTGGCGAGATTCACATATTTTATTGAAGAAAGAATGTTCGAATCTACACTTTTATAAATACAGAATTACAATAAATTAAATAAAGCTCTTATATGAAATCTTTTTCATTGTATAACAATTGTGAGATGTTCACTATCACCATCACAGTTTTCTTTATTTAGATTGTAAGAAGTCTATCAATGAGACTTTCATGCAGATCTCGTTACACATAAAAAGACTGATCCTTATGATTCATTACAAAATTTAAAACAGTAATTCTCTTCATTTAAATTATTAAGTTCTTTTTAATTAAGAAAAAACAGAGAGAAATGAGATTGGTATTAATCATTAAATCAATTACGATATCGAACGTTTTGATGAAGGAAATACGTTTGTTTTTGTAGAACTAGAAAATATTCTTTCTGTCATATACCAATAAAATGTTGAAAATGGAAATAACAATAGTTATTTTGAACTGTAAACTATGAATCTAGTCAATTCTTACTAAAGTACTGTTGTACACATACGAAAACATTTATTACATAGATCAGTATATTCTTAATTCGATTTTTCCAACCAATTATTGGATATGAAATGACATACTTTTGAAGTTGATAAGTCGGAGGATCCATTTTACTCATTGATAAACCGGCTGACATTTCAACTCGTTTCAAAAAATCTAGCTTTCTCTCACCAAACAAAACAGTCATTGGAGACAACCAAGGAATATTTTTAAACGTAACGGTACCATTATCCATTAATTCATGTTTTTTTGCATCGCTTATGTTTTTCAATTGTTCAATTGTACATAATTCATACCAGACTGTAAGTCGAGGTCTTGATACTTGAGGGTAAACAACTCGATGAATACCTGGTTTGAGTCGATTTTCTGTTATTCGAGATGCTGCTTCTCCCAACCATATGACACCAATGTTCGACTCCAAAGGTCCATCTATCCATTCATTATTCACCAAATTTTTCAATTGAAGTCCTTCATGTGTCGATAAAATACTGAGTGAAAGTAAACCTGGATCATAATGTGGAACACAATTAACTTCCTCAGTTGTTTGTCCATCCGTAGGTGGTTGAAAACCACTTTTCATATTGAAATAGTTTACAATATCAAGCATACCAAAATGTTCATCTTGTAAAGGAAGATCAGCACGTTTTATGAGAGATGATAAAGATGATTTGTGCTGAAATACTGAATTCTGATCAAGAAGTTCAATTAAACGTTTTGTTACAGCATCCAGTGCTTGTGAAAGATAGTTTAATGGTTCAACAAGTGTCACTGGTACGAATCCTTTATTTGCGAATTGGCCAAAATAGCTTCCAGTTAATAGTTTGATACCTTCTTTATGATTCACTTTTGAATAGCCATAAATTTCCTGAGATTGCGAATATAGAATCTTGGTTTCATCATATTCGAAAAATTCCAACAGTTTTTTAGCTACGCTTGAATTTAAAATGAGTTCAGCTGATAAAAAAACAAAACACCAACCGTTCGATTCGAATTCTGTTTCCATTCGTTTTATTTCTGCAGAATCTTCAAAATTCAATATTTTATTCAAATCAATAATAACTTGAGATTTCTTGATTGATGCAGACATTTTTCAGTAACTTTTGTGTAAATTTGAAGGTTCTGTTTCTTTCTGCTTATAGCATAGTTACCCAGTCATTGTCTTGCTTTATAAACAGAACTGTAATTACACAATCTTTTCTTCTGATTTGATGACACGTCATCAATGACTGACTCATCAAGATACCTTTCTAAAAGAACACGTCAGCTGCATTAAGAACGAATAATTTTAATTGAGTACTCGAAGTATACATTATGTGGGTGTGGGGTGTGGATGTGAGTGTGGGTGTGGGTATGGGTGTGCGGGTGTGGGGTGTGGGTGTGGGTGTAGGTATGGGTGTGATAGAAAGAATCATTCACATTCACACCCACTCACACCCCACACCCACACCCACATCCCACACCCACAACCACACCCACACCCACACCCACATCCCACACCCACAACCACACCCACACCCACACCCACACCCACACCCACATCCCACACCCACACCCGCACCCCACACCTTAGATGATGACGTATTCGGAGTTCTACGAACGATAAATGAATTTTGTGGATCTGGTTGATTTAGATTTGTAGTATGACCATCTTCATTCATTGAGTTATGATCATCCGTAATACGGAATTATATTTTAAATGAATCAAGTTTGTGTTTTATGGGAAAAGATAATACAAATAACGTAGGAATAAAGGGAAAAAAACTGGACTAATGCAGACAAATTGCCCAACTTCTCCACCAATTGTAAGACTCTCGCTATATATGAAAAACAAGACTCTTGTCTCACTCAAAGGCGTAGGCTAGAAATGAATAACTAGAATCCCGGTCTGCAACGGGTACAGAGATCTTACGTAATGAATCAAAACAAAGCATTCTTACCGGACAATAATGAGATGCGGGGATGAGAGAGAGAATAATCTAACCGGTAATCTTCCTTTAATAATAATAATGAGAAAATCACAGTGGTATATCACTATAACAAATGTAACACTATAATGAAATACAATATAATAATATAACCACACATATGAATAATAACACTAATAATAATAATGATGAAGGAAACAAGGAAGAAAACAACAAGGAGAAAAGATATGAATGAGAGAGTGAATATGAAAGAAGAAAACAAAACAACAACTGATTACGTAACAAGATCACGTAATCGATAATAAGTGGATACGTGAAAAAAGGGAAAATGACCAAAGAGAAATATAGAAGGAAAGATAAAAATAGTTAGCGGTCATAGAGAGATCTCTATGGACGCTGACATCATCCATTACCATTGTCACATGTTTTTCCAAAATCTAAACATGGGCCTCCACAGTCAATACCAGTCTCCCCTTGATTTTGAATGTTGTCGCAACAAGATATACCTTTTGAAAACAAAAAAGTCTTTAGTTAGAAAATAATTGAGAAACAAATAGAACAAATATTTTACAGCAAGATTATGGTTACAGAAAAATTAACATCTAAAATATCTTGTTGCATTCTTCTTATCTCTCATTTTAATTTCTTAAAATTTATTAATCACATTAAGGCAGTATTAGCACCGATATCTTTCAAAACATGAGTATTGCCATAAAAGAGAAAAGATAAGTTCTGTAGTTGAAAAATGGCTAGTATGTAAAACAGAAAGACGTTTAATGCATGTAAGCGTCATTTAGTGGTCTCAAACTCTCGTCACACATTATACTGTTGTTCTTCGGCACAATTGACGTCATTTACAAGTCAGATCGCAAGCTTTCTTGTCAAGTAACATAAGAGAAACTTATCATTATGATATATTAACATTTGTACATAGATTAATTCAGTTAATATAGTGTAATTTGTGGAGCGCAGACACATATTCTCGTAGAAAATAGTTTGTTTAATTTTTAGCGTGAATTTTTGCAGTCCCCTCATCCCTCTTCTTATTACACATGTATCTTCAATGTCAAACATCTCTGCAAGAGGCCTCAGCAATGAAGAAAAATCAGAGCTAGGGTGCCTAACTTTTTTTCGAAAGTCGATGAAGTTTTAATTTTGAAAAAATATGAATATTATTATTTGTGAGTTAATTAATACATATATAAGACAGTATGTATTATCTGCTCTAGATATCCTGAATAAAAAAAAGAACATACTTATTCAGCAACTAATTTGATGATTATAATAAGAAAAGTCTTAAAATAAATCGTAAATAATGTGAAAATATTAAAAATACAAACAAAATATAGGGTACCTGTAGGAAACAATGATCTGTTCGAAACACAGAAGTTAGAGAAATCATCATTCCGAATGTCATTAATTCTATGAACTACTATAATCTACGAAAAGCTTTTTACTTTACGAATATGCATTATCTTAAGAAGATTGAAGATTATCTTTGAGTTTAATAGTCTATTCCAGGTAGGATACTCCGATAAGCCTTTTTGAAAGTGAATAATTGAACAATCATTGCTAGACTTCAAATTGACTGATTCTCGAATTAATTTGTCCATTTTATGTTCAATGAATTTATGTATTTCGAGTGTTACACTGATTTAAATATATTTCTAGTTTCTACAAATCATACAATTTCCTAGTTTTTGCCATCAAGCATTCATATTTTTCATGAAAGTTAACAATTTAATACGAAATGCTTACTAATAGTGAATGACGTTTTCAAAAACAGTTTGCTATTGTAGGATTTTTCACGATGAATTGACAACATCTATGGTGTCTAGCAGGTGATTCGCATAAAAATAAATGGTCAATCTATATTTGTTTCCCTTGGTCTTAATTTTTCTAAATTAAAATTTGAGATCTGTGTTCGAGAAAACATAAAAAGAAAAATGTAGAGAGTGTTTTCTACATCTTCAACCACACCAGAATCAATTATTGCACGAAAAGAGCATAGACCTTTATCACATAGTCTTAAATTAGCTTCAAATACTTCAAATGAGTTTTTGTAGGTTACACATTATTCGATGAAATATTTTGTTACTACTGTAAAATAGTAAATGTGTGTATGAAAATAGACCTTTTGCAATCTATTCATATAACTTTATAAAACATTTTTTTAATGGAACGTTAAACATTAAAGGCACGATACTTTCAATATGCTTTTTCTTCGAAGAATGAAATTTCTTCCATGTTTGACTAGCTACGAAAATCGTTTATATTTGTTTAACAAGAACAAAACTGAAAATATCCGGAAACTATTATTTTCATGTTTAAAGACGAATATTTGGAAGTGGCATTAGATTCAGTGTCTCATGGCTTAGGGTTCACTAACATAAAACAATATTGTGTTGCGAAATAATCCCGGGGTACATAATAATTGAGAAAAAACAACAAATGAGAAAACAAAAGTTGTTTGAGAAAAAGACAATTCTCGGACTTATCTAGAGTTTGACTCTGAATCTGGAATATTGTCAATATAACATAATTTATTTACGTTTCTTTCGATTCTTTCTTTTCGTTGGAGTAGCATGAGAGATGTAACGTTCTTGTTTTGGAGACAGAAGCCAAGAAAAAGGAAGTTTCATAAGATCCATTATTTTTTTTTATAAAGTAAAATATTGATATCCGTTCCTTTGTTAAGAGGAAAATTCTCATACGCCTATTGTGATTCTTGAAAGCTGCTACATTACGAGAAGATTGCCCTTTGCTATTGTGGAAATATTAAACTGATAAAGTAAAGAAAATAAGAGTGCAAAGAACTTTAATATAACAATAAGTTTTTGATGAAACTTAAAAGGATTGTTTGCATAGATGGGTACTTCCGTCGTTTTTTCTTTCAGTACAGTAGGGAAAAAAGTAGCTGGATAAAAACGTACTAGACTTTCAGAGGTTCAATGAAACTGTGAAAGTTAAAATAATTTCGAGTCCTAACGCGGCAGTGCCACGGTTCAGAAACGAACTTGTTTGTTTCTGTTCATGTAGTGCTGTCTAGGCTATAAAGAAACTACTTTTCATTTCTTCTCGCTATAAAGAAAAAACTGATTTGAGAACTGAAACAAGATTATTTTTTTTATACGATATTCTATCATATATTTGTTTATTGAAAATGAATTTGTACATACCACCATCTAAAAAGGTCAGCTGTGGTTTTACTTTTGGCAATTGCCACCATCCACGGCCCATCGTAGATGTAACAAGTAAATCTCTTATCGGATCATAAACAAACGATGAAACCAAAACATTTGGCATGGATAAACCTAATTTATGCCATCGTGTATTAGGACCCATTTTATCATCAAATGCTGCATAAATACCATAAGCTGTTCCAATCACAAGAGCATTATTGTTGTCCATTGGAACAACGACACTGCCCCATGCATAGGGCATTTCATGCGAGCCAGTGTCAGCATATAATGTGCCGATTACGTTTGTCCATGTTGCACCAAAATCCAATGTTTGCCATACTTGTGACCATCCATCAACAACATAGGATTGATAATAATTTCTTGGATTCATTGCAATAACTATCTCAGTTTTTCCCTTAACAATAGCGAGAGAGTTGTATTCGTTTTTACCACCTTTATCTAATGCGAAGACATAGTTACCTTCGGAATTAATTCCAAATATCATAGTTTCATCTCCTATTCCATTGCGATAACCACCATATTTATAATAGCTAAGAGTTCCGGTAGTCTGAACTTTTTCTGAGTCTGGTAGCTCGCCATTGTCTCCAGTAGTCATGTCATATCGGTTACAAAAATTGAGCTTTAGTATATTCGTACAAGCTAGTAAGTAGCGTGGATTAACGACATTTAGTGCAAATACCGAGAAAAAGTCGTAAGCACCATTAGGAAGTATATTTCCAAAGAGTGTAGACGGTGGCTTGCCTCCTTCGATCCATGGTACTTTCATAAAATTCCCGAAACTTTGGTCAGTGGCATATAAAACAGGTGGCAACTGATTACTATCAAATGCTACATTTATACCATCGCCAGTATTGTAAGTATAGAACATGCCTGGTATGGATTTGCCAGCAGCAATATCCGCGGCTGACGACCTACTGACCCATACTAAAAACAAAACAGACACTTCAGTTAATTCTTTATCATTTACATGTTAATTGACATCCACATAATGAATGAAACATTTTGTGTAAAACAGTTGTAAATACTGAAAAGAGTTATCAAGTAACTATGTTTAGTGATTATCACTATGCAATGTTACCGTTATTTTTACATGGCGCCTCATGAGAAAATAACAGGAAAGAGATTAAAGGTAATTAAGTGCTTATTTAAGCCGACTATAATCATAGGGTTTTAATTAAGTTATAATCAATCTAATGTAACTGTCACAAATCACTTCATGGTATTCCTATTATATAATCATTGTATTTCACTAATTCTATACGAATGCCTATATCTGGTATTTTTAGATGTATATCACTTCTGTCACTAAAAGAATCGTACATGGACTTAAGTGTGTTGCATTGATCGTAATGTAAACAAGTACTAGAAACTACGACTACTGCATCGTAGTACATATTTTCTACGATTTACAGTAACTAACACCTATTAATTATAAGTAATTCCTTCTTATTTGTGACTGATTATAGAAGTAGTGTATAAAGAGGAAAGTCTTTCTCAGACTTATGCTTGTGACCTAATTCAGTAGAAACTAGATAGTTTATACCGAATACATGCTGTTAATTTGTAAAGAGTTATTTCGTTAGGTTCTCTCTTCTAATTTTTTTAAGAATCTTTTCCCAAGCCGTTTATTAGCGTCTGTTTATGTCGCATCTTTTAAAATGCCTCATAACGTTTTTATTTTTCAATGATGTGATAATCTTATGTCATAATATGGTGAATTTCTATGAAAATATTGGTAAAAAATCAAAATTTTGACTATGTTAACATATAATGTAGTTATATCCCAGTTTAACTACAATCAACCCAATTGGTATTCTTATCCTATATCTTTAGACTAATATTTTTAAACTTACATACTCATGACTACAAATTTATACTTATGTGTTGTAAACATCGATCTCTAGATTATCATCATAACTATATGTTGATAACTATATCTCTAAGTTTGTATGTTTATCTATCTACACTTAGAGAAAAGCTATTTGTAATGCAGTTCAATAAAATCAATCACATTGAAATCACAATAATGCTCCTTTTTTTTCAAAAACATCATTTTGCAATCTTAACTACTACTGTCGCATCATCATCAATATATTTCAATGTAGAAGCATTCAAAACATGCATTTATACTACCGAATTATTCGCATTGTTTGTTACTTAAAATAAAAGACTAATTTCTCAAAGAAGTTATGTAGAATATTTGCTTGAAATTTCATTTAACTGTAATACTTTTTTGCTAGTTTCGGAATCTTATCAAAGTTTGGCAAAATATTAGTGTTCGATGGAAGCATACTTTTTTGTTCTAATTGCATGATTCAGAAGATAAACTTTTCTTTAAGATTATTTACGACAACGTCTTAGAACTTACTATTTGCTTTCACTTCTATAGATCATATAAATTTTGAATCTTTGATGGTTAAATGTAAAGATATCTGTCAATACTCACTATTAGATTATCAAACGTCAACAGGCATCAAAACTCGAATAATATTTATGTTGTCCAAAATCTCAACAAGATCTTTTATACTGATTATCTCAACCCACACTCTACTCTATTATGTAAAACCTAGTCAACCGAGACAACTCTGTATTATCGAAATCTCGATTGTAAATATGTTGAAATTGGAATATCTTGATGAGGATACTTCACGAGAATTTCATTTTAAAAACTTGTGAATTTTGACGAGTGACAACACTATTCTGATTGTTACATGGTTGATATTGTTGGCTGACAATACCAAGATCTTTGCTATTATCGATACGATTGTAATCGAAAAAAGAGTATTTCAGATATAGAAAATAAGTTATGGAAAACAAGTTCTGCTAACTAATAATCATATTCATTTCATTGCAATAAAAGAAATTTTAGCGGTCAAAAAAATAATAATAATTCCGACATAAATTGGCTAAAAAATCTATTTTAATGTTCAACTTAATTCGATAAATCACAAATACTCGATTTTTTATCAAGTATTTATCTGCTGATGTTTCTGTTTATTTTTTATATAAGACTAAATGCGAGTACCAATCTACTGGAGTTCGAAGGAGTGCTAGAGTCCAACGAGAAGGAGGTTCTTAGAGTGTATCGAAAAATAATCTCAACAGTAATAGCGTAAGTTTTGAAGACATGAGTGAACAAATTAGTCTCTTTCATTTCCATTCCCTCACTCTTCTATCCTAACTTAAAATCAAGCTTCAAATTTTATCGCTCTATCTATTCAATCGTTCACGGTTCATTTTCCTCATCCTTGGTGCGTCACATCGATATAAATCTTCTAAAAGTACATTTAATTTCAGTGTGAAGAAATAATATTTTGTTACTTTATACAATTATGGCGCTATAACACCATATTCTAATATTATAGCAATTAATCTGTCGCTCAATAACTTTTCTGTTTGAGACCTAAGTCCTAACTTATACTTCTTCTTTTAATGATATAGAATTAGAGAAGAATTTTATGGTATTAAATTTATTTGTTTATGTAAATTTTTTTTATCAAAACTATTTTTGCGGCCCCATCAGAGAATCTGGCTGTTCTGGATGAAACACTAAATTGTGTAGCATAACTTATAACTGTAACCTAATATCGGATATAATTAGAAAAAATAAATTCCACTGATGAATATATATGATAGAAGATCATCTAAAAGAAGAGTTTGATCTCTATTATATCTAACTTACCAACAAGTAGTGTTTATCGAAAAGCTGGAAATAAAAGGTGAAGTCCCTAGTAGTTAAAGGAGAACACAAAACGTTGATATCTATTACTGAACACTGGAAACAGTTTAGACAAGTTTGCTTTAGGAACATGTAAGTTACTAATGCCTAAGTCAAATTTATGTTTGTTATGTTGATTTCATTGCAGTATAATAGTTAGTCTACTTACTACAATTATCTTGAGCTGCGCCTGCGATTGTATCCGTTGTACTGTCATATGCTGCTAATAAAAATTCATTTGTAGAAAGATCACCATTTTTATGAACCCAGTCTCCCCTTCCCTTTGGATTCGTATGTATCCATATGCCACCATCATTTGTACACATGAGTTGATTTGTTGAACGATCCCAACCAAAAAATCGCACGTCAACATGTGGCGATGTTCCAGTCACTGTAAACATTGGGATAACACTATCTTCAGTTTTCATATCGCGAATAAATGACCATAGAAAACCTTCATTTTCATTAGGATTATTGCCTGAAAAGAAATAGTGGTAGCAAGAGATATGAAAAATAACATGCCATTTCAGGCAGAAAAACAATATTACCAGAGAAAGTTCGGTCGCCTCTGAATATTTCGACTCCAGTCCCTCCCACATATAGGAATCTTGGATCGGTTGGATCAGCAAATACGGCAAAATTTGTTTCACCTTGATTACCCAACTCCCCATAGCCTCGTTTGTTTTGTGTACCGACTCCTATCTTTTGATACAGTATGTCTCCATTCGGAGCTAGCATCGTAGTCCAAGTTGCTCCTTGATCAGTGCTAAAGTAAAAGGCATAACATGTTGATGCAGGTTCTGTAGAGCCGCCATAGTAACCAACATAAAGAATATTGTTTTGTCCTTCAGTATAGATAGTTAATTTAGCATTATTAACGGTGTCAGCAAAGAAGCCATCTCCTTTGTCTTCATCAGCACATTCTTTGTTTATGAATGTTGTGTCAGTTACTGCTGTCCAAGAATTAATATCTAATTTTGTGTTTCGGTAAATTTTTTTCGAATTATCGACATAATAGAATGTTGGTGGTATTGTACTTGGATCTTGAATCATATCGAATGGATATTCATCTTTTCCCTTGTTAGTACTATACGGGACCCAATTTTCTCCCAGATCCGTACTTCTATATATAGCACCAGTATTTGGAATACGACTATTATCTCTTCTCACTTTTTCACCTAATGTTGATACAGTAATAGTATGTTGACCATTTGATGTTCCAGTTATTATAATTTTATTAACAAGAAGACCAACATTATCTCGCCCATATGGTAAGTTAGTGTGAGTCCAAGTTGTTCCACCATCTATTGACACATACACACCTTCATATGGGCCAGCTACAGACCCAAAATTACTCACGCCATTGCATCCTAGAATCACGCAAAACTACAGTACATTCTATGATATCTTTTGAAAAGTTTCTTAATCTCAATCATTCATTCATACATTATGATCCTATCGAAGTTTTATCTGCTTATTTGTTATTATTAAGAGTTCAACCCATCTGATTAATTAGTTAAGAAAGAAAGAGCATCATTGTGTTTTATCAACTAATAACTATTATCAAATGATTTGAGATGAAAATCATAATAGCCAATAGATACTTTTCACAAGTCAATGAATCTTTTGAAATGCTGTGAGATATTGATGAGAAAAAACTAATTTTTATCACCTTGAAAGTCTATTAAGTACGCAAAAATCACTGGACAGTGATAGAAACAGTATGAGAAGTACTATGAATCACTGGAAGAAATGAAAAATAATACAAGAAATCAATTTATTTTAACTTGTTAATATTAAAAGTACTTAGAAGTATTTTCTAGCTATTTCTTTTTACATGAACAATTGTATACGCTTAGAAGTCAAACAAATACGGAAGTCGTTCAATCAACTAATATGAAACTCAAAATAATCTATGTGAGATATCGTTAAAAGCTTTTTCGTAGTGTCTAATTAAAAGTGAAATTAATGCTAGTATATTATTTGTAGACGTTGCACTGTTGTATGTGGCTGTACGACATCCATAGAAAAGCACTAAAATAAACTCTGACTACAAAAATGCCTTCTACTTCAGTTACTCTCTGACAATTGTTATCTGTGAAAATATTTCTGATTTTAGTAGGTACGTATAATGAAATCTATGATAGTACAATGCTCCGGTATAATATAATGGTAAATAAGAACATTTAGTAAGGTTGTAACAAAGCAGGCCAAACCTATTTGTTCTCAAATGGTGAGTCTCGAAAGTTTTTTCTTAAAAACACTTTTTCTTTAAACCTAAAATATTTTAAAATTTTAATTGTCTGCTTCCCAAAGTAAAAGTGATCGACGCCTGAAAATTTGTTTAAGTTGAGCAGGTCTCTATACTTTCGTTAATTTAGCATGAAGAGATTATTCTCTACAATATGAGTTAGAGAATAGAGTTTGTAGGTAGAAAAATTTAAGAATCAAGACTGGTAGACGTAGACTAACAGGCTTTATCTATAAATGACTAAAATCATAATATTGATAACTTTTAAATGATCTCTGAAGAACATTGTATACAAAACTGATATATTTTATATCTTCAACACTAAAGCTAACTCTTTGTAGATGATAGTCACATTGAGATATCTTCTTTCCAATCATGTGCTTTTGAAATAGACATGATGTATCAAAAGATAGAAGTATTTTGCTTGGCACAACTGTAGTTATTTAATCTTTGTCATGCACTGCAACAGTTCAAAACTAGTTAATCTATCGACTTTGATACTACGCACATATTTTTATCGCACATGTATGTCTTCACCAGTTAAAATATGAATGAATTATGGTACGGATGATTCAAGCTGGTAGTTTTGCGAGGAATAAAACTTGTTCATATATTAACTTGCTTCTATAATTTGCACCTGCCAGCAACTTTCACATTTTTGTTTATTTAAAGGGTTTGTTACTCCTCTACTAGTAAATGGTTTATGTTTGATCAGAATAAAGCTATTGCCTAGATACTCCTGGGTATCTCGTTTTCATAAAAAAAATGAAAATCTATAGAACTTAAAATACTGATCACAAATAGTTAATTGTTTGATATCGAAATTCATCATGAAATGACAAAAGGATAAGAATAGCTTGGTTAGCGTATATTTGATTTTTAAAGAAAGATCTATGCAAGGGGGATAACGCGAGACTTCGTACTTCACTATACTTCACTTGTACTTCAATTTTTTCCATTAAAGTAGATGAAGTCTCGGTTTTTCCCCTTGATGCTTTCTAAGAATAAAATTTATTAATTAGTAATAATGTAAGTTTTACTAACCGTAAGCAATAAAATTTGGATCTTGTAATGAACCAGTTACTGTACTAACTGATTGGCATAAATTCTTGTCTGTTAATGGAATGTAATGTGGTGTTGTAGAATCAAAATTATCTGTTCTCCAAACTCCACCATTAGTCGATCCCAGGAACAATGTTTTCGAATTAGCAGGCATAAAGATTTCAGTTGCTGCGCCTGTTGCAGCAGGATCCATAGGTGCAACAGGATCAAAATTGTTTGGACCTCTGCTTTGCCATGGAAGCATGCAGTACGTTGCTGCTTGAGCTGTGGCTAGAGAGAATATACTAGTTTGAAAAACCCGATTGATTACTAGATAAAATTAAGAGAAAAATGGAAAGTAACTACTTGAAAGGTGCTCTATATGACAAAACATGATCAATTAAGAAGTTTTTATAGTCTTTATATATAATGAAAAACAGAAAAAAGTATTTGAATAACTCTGGCAAACGAACCAGTGTTTTTCACGATAGTTTATTGATGAACTTTTATGGATTCGCTCCACTCTAAGTTTTTGTGATTCAACTAACGAACAATTTTTAAGAAAAAATGAGCATTATTACAGAAGAAAATTCTACAGTAGTAAGTTTTTTAAATTTATTCTTCTAAGCAAAACTCGGACGATTGAAACACATAACCATATACGTTAACATACACTAATATCTGTCTAATAGAAAATTTATTACCTGCTGTTGTAGTACTGCTTGCACCAGTTTCCAAATCGAAAAATGATAAACCATCGGTTCCACTACAAGGGTATAACATTAATACAGTGGAAACTCCATTAGCAAACGTGATTGTCAATGAAATGGGTGCTGTATGTGCATTCATACGGGCTAGAACCATATTGAAAAATCTTTTTTTGCTACCTGCCGATGCACCATACTTTTTTGGATACACAACGGCAAGGCTCATTGCTACATATAACCCAATAGATCCGAACTGATTGCAACTAGGTCTGAAACAGAGTATTACAAATATTAAGAAATAACAAATTAGAAAAATCATGAAGCATTGATACATACAGAGCACGTCTTTTTCTGAAGAGCGCTCGACGACGACGACCTGAACTTCTTGCATAGTCTTTGATCTGAATGTTGGTAACTGTTAATGAGCCAGTCGGTAAACCATAGGCAGTTTCTAACTAAAATTTTATTTCATATAATTACTTGAGAAAGTCAGGAGAAATTTTTGAAAAATATGAATACTTGTCGTGCTATTGAATTAGTATTGATGACATTCGTATTCGTACCATTACTTAATGTTAGCGAGTTTGTGACAAACGTTAGTGGTATGCCATTAGACACTACAAAATGGAACAAACAATTAAGATAGGGAATCGTTTCTCATAGTACTTTTCCAAAAGATAGAGTCTCTATATGTAAAAGGTATTGGAAAATGAATCGATGTATGAAATCAAATGATTTTTAATTGTCAAACGACATTCACCAGAATGACAATATTTATGATACATCACCGCCATCATCTTTATCTTAGATACTGTATTTTAAAAGTTATTTTGACAAGAGAACGTCTTTTCACTAAAGTCTAGTAAACTTTAAAGTTTTTATCCTTTACATTTAAAAACATTAATGATAATTAAAGACGAAATCCATTAATAAACTTTTTCTTCATCGCTTTATGTATTGCGAGTAGAGAACTGCGTGACCATGATTTTTAGTCACGGTCACGGTCACGGCGTGACCGTGACCGTGACCGTGACCGTGACCATTTTGCAGATGACTATTTGCGAGTGATCTGAAACATTCGCCATTAAATAGAAAACATGAAAAATAAATGAAATTCATCACTAATCTATGTTATTCAGTTCTTTATTTTGACTCCAACTGTTATCACGCTCGATTCTTTGCATGTCAATACGAAAAGAAAAACGTTATTCTGAGAAAGTGGATGAAACACTTCACCGCATAGTAGCAAAATATTTAAAAATTTGTGTTGAAGAAAAAATACTTCTACGTGTCTATCTCGTAGTTTAACACCTATCGAGATGTGAATTTTTGTCTATTTTTTATTGAGAAGATAGTAGTTACGAATTTTCTCAAAATCAGGTCTGTTTATTATTTAGTTATCTATGATCTTTTCATTTCGATGGAAAAAAAAAACTTGAACATATATTCAAGTCAACTGTTTCAAAAAAAAAGTGTTTTTGTACTGTTGAGATACTCAATGATTATAAGACTATTCAAACAAAACCAGCTTATTCTACGAACTTTCTTCAAAAATAGTTTTTCGATTATCTATTCTGGCTCTTATTTAGAATATGCACATATCATCACTGATATAGACTAACTATGAAGCACATGATCCTAATGATAAAGTGAATATCTCACGAAAGTAGAATTAGTAGATCAAGATCATTACTCATTTTCTAAAATATTTAGGCTTTGATTTAGCCTTCTTTCTGTAAGATATATTTAATTAGTCGGCATTTTCAAACTTTTTATATTTTAGCGTAAAATATAAATTAATGCTAGTCCGAAGATTATGATTAAATTAGAATTCGAGCGATACTGAGAGTTCTGTATGAAATGAAGAAGAATTACATATTTTGAAATATGAACGAGAAAGAGAAAAAGTGAACAGAAACTTCAGTATCATATCAATTATTTGTTCGTAAGTTATCTCCTATTAAATAATTAGCGTCATGATAATATGAGGATCAACATTCTCACTACTCGTAAGACACTAGAAAATGTTGTTCGAATTAAAATATAACTCAAATTTGTTAACTTTTTGAATGGTCATTCATTGGATCTATACGTTAAATACATTTGAGAGAATAAACTTTCTATAAATCAAGAATAAATACACCAGAAACTATTTGTATTAGATATATCTAATCTCAAGAATAGATGTCTAATGTTTTAAATAACATAACATAAAGTTTAATTCATAAATCAATGCTCATCGTAGAAATTTATTTTGACGGTTAATGACGAATTAAGTGAACAAAGAATGCATCCTGATAATCTTAAATTGATTTGAAATATGTTTTATTTATTTCGACCTATACGGGTTAAAGGTCCTTATATTTATTATTGAATTATTTCTGAGAATTAAGCAACTTAATGATTTGAATCAGTATACTTAAAGATCTAGATAGAAACAAATTATTAATAACAATCAACGATATAGTTATCAATCAGAACTCTATTCATTCAATCCTGAATGAAAAAAATGCGCAAAATAAAGAAGTTAAGGTATCTTAAAACTTATAAAATACATCTCTGCTGCTTTTCGAAATGTTTTTTCTAGATAATCATCGTCAGATAGGAGAGATTAAACAGGGAAAAATTATCCTATTGAATAGTGAAAAACAAGGTATATATTGATGACGTCAAATAGATTTGGCTTGATAGCCATAAAAACAAGTTAAAGAATTAGAATATACTATTGTAATGATGATTATTATTTAATTTCTTAAACAGGAAATTTTAAAGGTTCGAAGTAGCATAGCAGACAATCATTATGAAGATTTAGATCAAAAATAAACTTTCTCCTTTTATTCAGTATGAGAAAATGACTTTGACAGAATGAAAGATATTTTTTTTTTAGAAAAGTTCAATAAATCTAATTATCTTCAGTACGACTGTTTCATAAATGTTGATTTTATAATTTTCTTATCAAGATTAGTGTAGACTATCTATCAGTTGAAAAGTGAATTTCACATTTCATATGTTCTCTTAAACTGTTTCAACATTTTTCAAGGATGATGACTCAACACAGAACAGAATTAACTGTTTAATCGAAAATGAAAATCGACAAACCTGTACTATAATCCAAACCATTTGGATTGATATCCTTTTTAATATATACAGGTATCAAAGCAAGTACAATCATGGCCACAACTGCAAACAGAACTATAAAAATGATTACTCCAGATACCAGTGCGACCGGTACACCAATTGAACTTCTAAAAAAAAGACAGAAACTGTATGTCATTCATGTCTCGATGCTAAAAACTGAAAGTACTATTAATATTGAGCTAATAGTGTCACCTTCACATAGAAAATAGTTTTCCAATTTTGGCTATGATTATTTCATCGTTCTTAGAGAGTACTGTAAAGTTCCAACTGGAATTCAATCCTTAGAATTTTGCGACTGAACTTTGAATCCTGTTCTATTCGTCATTCAAGTAGTTTTAAGGTTCATTAGAAAAAGCAAATAAAATGTTGTTAGTTTGAAAGGTTATAAACAGATAGATCATATAGTCTGTAGAATGATACAAAAGATACACCTGAAATGTATACTTTCATGTTAAGAGAGTATATTGGCAGAAAATTAATATTTTAATGAATATTTGAAATATTTTAACCGACTGAGAAACATGGATGTTAAAGAGATATTTATTGGAAGTAAAATTCTTCAAAACTTTAGGTAACTATATGTTTAGTTTATGTTGAAAAGTTTCAAATCAAAGACACGATATTTTATCTCGTCAAAGAAGTTATAGTATAAGTCAAAGTGTAGCAAAACTGGTTATGGCTAAACATCTTGAAAGACTCAAATATTCAATAGCAATCAGAAAATTATTCAACTGACAATAATATATTTAATTGTTGTAGCATTATTTATGATGACATTCCCTACTTGAAAATCTTTTATGATCAGTAGTTATTTGAGCATGTTAGTTGTGGTATTAATGAACAAAACCGTGAGAAACTTACCCCCTTTGTCCGGGTGCAGCATTAGAAGGAGGTGGTCGCATTAAAGTTGATTATGATATTAATGCTTGTTTATTTTTGAAAAGTCTGAAACAGTTGCTATAAGTTTGTTATCTGAAATGTATGATTCAATAGATATTGCATTGATCCGAAATAAAAATGAACTTCGATATTTTTGAAGAGGAATTTGTTCAAATGCAACGGAAGTCAAGCACAATCTGATTGCTTTTTTTTTCATTCTTTGTGTTATGTCATTCTTAAGATTGTACTAATTTATGATAATTTTTCTCGATTGCATCTAAACTATCATTTTGGAAATGGAGTTTTCGTAAAATTCAAAAGCACATGATTCTTTTCTGCAAAAAATTTTGTAGCAGAAAGGTCAGTTAAATTGAGACAGAGCAATAGAGCATTTCAATTCTAACAATTATAGATTATCCTCTGGTACTTCTAGAAATATCACTTTAAATTCAGAAATAACTTATTCTCAAATGAAAGTGTTTAATGCGAGGAGAAGAATGCTTTGAATTTATTATAAATTTAAATTATTAAGATATTTTTTTCCTATTTACTTAAGCGACGAAAAGTTGAATGTTAAATAAGTCAATAGGAAGATGTCGTCTCACTTTAACGTCTCCTAACGCAATAACAAATAAAACAAAGACAAGTATTCTTGTACAAGAAAAGTTGACTTAAGATATCTCATTCAATATAAACCTTCGTGTATTTTTATGATGAAAATTCGTTGAATATTCTTTCTAAGTGGGTGCTTTTCCAGTAATAAAAATGAAAAGAACCATTGACGAGATATTAGTAGATATTAGAATAATGGTACTATGTACATCATCATGGTCGACGCAAACTCAAATTTTTTAGAGAATCCAAGCTGACTAAAATTTCGGAATACGTGTTTAAAAGGACAAAACAGAACAGCGATAGTCTACCATGCACACTAATTATTTAAATACCAGAAACGCCATTTCTGGTGTGAAATTATCAGTTTTAGAGCATTTAAGCAGTCAAAAAACTTGCATTATTAGCGTCTACACGTATGATTTTATAATTCTCATATGATTCGAGTTTAAGCACTAAAAACAAGAGTTTTGAGGCGTTCAAATGCAATACTACGATAATTTCACACAAAAGATGGTGTCTCCGGCTTTTTCATAATTAGCGTGAATTACTAATAATTATGGTTCCGTATTGTACGTTTAAATACGTTTTCCAAGTTTTTGTCTGCTTAAGTAGCTCTCTAAGATTGGGAACCTTGGAATATGCAGTTACTTGACTGAAACTGTAAGATAAAAAATGTCAAAACACTTCAACGTGTTTTAAAACGCGATAAAAGCTTGTGTCTGTTGGGTTATCGTTCCTAAAAGTTCGAGAATTCATAGTGATCCGTCTAAACACCAAAGAAAACCATATGTCTGCACGGTGTAATATGTCCAGACACATGCAGAAATGACTTGTCGAGCGGATTTCCCGTCCCTAGAAATGGAACGCGAAACTGACACCTCTAGTTTAGATCTTGAGCTCGATCCAGCATCTGTTCTATTGCTGAGTTCTATATTAGTGGAACTGGTTCTCAGTCATTCTTCACTCAGAACTCCATAGCAGCTAATTCATGCTTTTTCTTTTAGTACAGAACTATGAAAAAGATAAACTTTAAGAGAAAAAGACGATAGAACGATAGGAAAATAAAACCATAGAAGGTTTGTGATTTTCTTTAGAAGTCGACTGGTTCTACCACTCCTGATAATCATAAGATTTCTGGTGAAGTAGTTATAATCTCATATAATCTGTTTTATGACTTCTCTAGAGAATAATCACAAAAAAATAGCAAGATTTTTCCGAGGGACCTCTAAACTACGTCTAAATCTTGTATAACACATAAAGACGTGAAAGAAAAGGATGTAGAGAGAAGAATGTACCGAAATGGGATGTATATAATGAACGTAATCAAATATCATATAGAAAAAGGTATAGAAGAAAACGCGGAAAAAAGGGTGTAAACGTAAAATATATAAGAGTGCCGAAATTTTTTTATCGTTTCCCTCGAAAACGATAAATCGAATAGACTCGACCGAGTTGCCATTTTGCAAGTGAACTAAAAAGAATTTTTGCTGAAAAATTCACTTTTAATAATATATTTGTAACTTACAAACATTTTTTTCTTCCATTATTTATCGCTGTTAATGTACCATCCACAAAAGATACTTTTCGGAAATGTTTGCTGAATGGCTGGATTATGTATTTTGTCCAAAATGAAACGAATCGATTCGTATTGATGGATGTTTATAAAACCAAATAAATCAAGAGAAAATTTATCAATCAGACTGTCAAAAACTGAAACATATTGTTTAGACCGTATAAGAGAAGAGACCGTTTAAGGAAAGATACGATATGTTTTAAGAACTGAAACACATGACAAGTGATAAACAAAGAAAGATGGATTAGATAGTTATCCGTCCGTCAAATATGTAATTATTGTTAATTTTTTCTGGAATCTTTCAATCTCTGAATATAAAAAATTATTAATAGAAATACATACTCCGTCTTCTGCTTGTTTTAAGGCTGCGCTTCCGATTTTACTACCGAGACAACCTATTGCTGTATTAGGTTATGAAGCAGCTCTTTTTCGTCTGCTGGTACTTGTGCTACCATCATTGGCAACCATTGTAATTAAATTACTTATGCCTGAATCTACAATAGCATATTATTAAATACTATTTCGAAACAAAAGAATGAATGATTATTTACCAGGATCTAAGATAGTTGATTTTGTTGGTGTATAAATAGGTAATACAATAGCTGCAGCAAGTAAAAATAAAAGAAATGCTCCACAAAATATTGCTCCAATCATCGGGCGTGAAGTTCTCGTTGCTGTATCGGCAGGATTCGGCGCTGCATACATTGTAACAGTGTAAATCATTGAATATTTGACTTCCCATAACTACACGCTTATACCTGTAATGCAAAGAAATCGTGGTGTTTATATAGAGAATGTTTTTTTTTTTCTGTCACTCATTCTCTATTTAAAAGAGCTGAATAATACCGAAACGAAGCGTAGGTTATAGCTACAACTGTGAATATGTACCTATTCAAGTATGATTATTCATACGTATTAAAAATATTCGACTTTCCCCTCTGAAAAAAAAAGAGATTTGCCCTTAAAAAAAAAATTTTCTTAGTGATAGTATCATACACAGCTACACATTCGTCTTTTAATTATAATTAGAATAGGTGAGTCCAATAACTTCACCCCCTATGACCACAAATAAAATATCATCGAGAAAAAAAGAGAAATTACAAAGTCTAATTACTAGTCGTCAATGCTTTTGACGATCATTATCATATTTCGAATGGCAGAAGCTTCAGTTCTTCGACTATGATTATAATAATCATTGATGTCTATGTATTCGTGAACGCAAATAAATTAGTGTATGAAATGTTTTTTCTTCAGTCAATATGTTGATATTATGCAAATATAATGGAGTCCATCTATTGAGAAAGAAAGATACAATTCCTCGAGACTATTTGTATTTTCAAGGGTTTATCGCTTGTAAAGTTTCGTCTTGAACATATTCATATATTTTTCTTATGTTTCTGAACAAGAACAAATTGATATATACCAGTAAGATCTACAACGATACTGTTAAGCTTAGATTCTTTCATATACACAACAACTTCGTCTATAGAAAGTAATTTCAGTAAATGTGTCAAATCGTTTTATTAAAATCTACAAAAAAATTTTCTTCTAAATCGAAGCAAATTTATGAAATCGATGATGAATCACTTATATTATTAAAAGTAGTTTAGTATATAGTTCAAAAATTTTGTTGAACTTAAGTTACTGACAGTAGACATTTTTTCTTAATCAATACAGTGCGGGCCGTAAAAAGCATGTACTTTTTTGTTTTTACGCATAAATGAGTAAAAAGATAGTCTGAAGATTT